GCCCTGCCAAATAGAGAGATATTTGTCAAACCTGGCGCTGGACAAAGCCAAGATTTTGCTGCTCACTGGTGCTTTCTGCTTATTCATATTCCCCTATTACCTCTATGCATTACTCGCGGCTTTTCCAGTGCAAGATTTACCAGCCTGAATATAGCCTAGACGGAAAAACCAGTCTGCTAAATAATTCTGTTCAATTTAGTCTGATTTGAGAAAATTTTAGCCCTAAAACGACGTCCTTGTCCAATTTTAGATCTTGGTTTCGTATTGCGGAATATCGTGGAACAACTGAAGGAGGTTTGAACCAAAAATATTTTGCCAAATCTCCGACGCCACAAGAAAGTCATTGCCAACCGGAAATATAAAACGAATTGTGCAAAGAGCATTGCAGTCAGCATTAGGAGGTGCGACTGAGAAGAGGAAAAATTTCAACTCGTGGTGGAGTCGGAAATGCATACCCTCATGTCACCAACGCAAATGCGCATGAATAGAATATTAAACCAATTTATCCAAAATTGTTGACTTTTCATATTTAAGTTTAGCAAATTTAAAGTAGCTGCGGTTGTGACAATTGAAGTGTTTTGATGTGTCATTCCGTAGGTAAAATAAAGGCGTCAAATGTGCACTTTGGTTAATATATAGTAAAAATGTGCGCATTTTTCTTATGAACTTATTTCATTTGTATAATTTGATTGTTATTTGTTTTTTGAAGCTTATTACAAATTTGTTTTACTTTAAGCATTGTGCAAAGACAGCATTCCACAAAATTTATGGGCAAAATATACTACCATAATCAGTGACTAGAATACCTTAGTAGAATTAAAATATCCTAAATTAGCTAATAAATAACTTTACTTTTAAATTAGTACATTACCGAATCATTTTAAGGACCTTTGCATTGGGTCAGACGATCTTCATTATCCAAGCCCATTTGACTACTTACTCTATAACTCCTCCTTGTACTTCTTAACGTGGGTGGGAGTCTGTGCTTAGATATTGATACGCAGGTAAAGCGCTGACAGCTGTCATCATCCCAGCTGGAGTACACAACTGTCACATCGGCATCCCCAATCAGTCTTCACTGTTGTCAGTGAAACTATTAGCCATCGGTCCCGCGGCAGATTAGGTGGAGGTGGATGAGGTAAGCGACGCGGTTGAGGAAGAGCAGGAAGTCGGGTCGCATGCGAATATGGATTTAAAGACAGAGCCAAGGAGAAAAATGCCAAACACTGCCTCTTAAAATGCTCTGGTGAGTGACTCATTTAGAGCAATTATCTTAATCAAGGCGTCTAACATATTCCCTCACTCACTTTGAACAGCTGGTGAGGAATTCTAAAAAAACCTGTATGTACTAATAAGCCTACGATTACTCAGCGCTTCAAAGTTATAGCACTTTTTGACGCAATAAAATCTCTTTTCCTAGAGAGGGGGTTAACGAGAAAAGTGCACAAC